CTCTCTCTCTCTCTCTCTGTGCACGTCTGTGGTCTCGCTGAGGATCCGCCCAGAGCTACTAGCTGCCTATCGGAGTGTGGGGCCTCTAACCTGACAGGGAATACTGCATGAAGCAAGTGGATCCACCGGAGACCTGTGCAGGCCTGCCTCCGGCATGACCAGATGGGCCAGGCAGTTGGGTAGCAGTTGCTGTGAGAGAATGAGTTTATCCGGTTGCTTCCAGGCAACGCTGCTGAATCTGCTGTTGCGAAACTACCTGGCATACAATCTCTATGACCAGGCGATCTGTGCCGCAGCAAAGAGTCGAAGCCTGCAACACAACACAGACGTGCAACACAGACGTGCAACCCTTCTCCAGCCGCGTCGTGGCTTGCTCTGTGCTCGGCCGCAAGATCCTGCGTTTGCAGGCATTGAAGTTGGTTTCAAAAACCAGCTTTCCGGAGAGCCGCCCCAACATGCAGCGGGGATCTCAAGCGGCATCTCTTAAGAGAACGGCCTGCCTGTTTGAGTCACTTTACTCATCCCTAATAAAGGTATGCGCGGTATTTGTTCTATATCGGGCAGATCAAAGCCGTTCAGCTCGAGCCCGCGCCTGAGCGGTGGCCGTGAGATCGCCGGTCTCGTTCAGAGAGGAAGGGTCCGAAGCAGAGGTACTCGGACTCGCACTCCAAGCTGATGCAAGCAATTCGAAAAGCGCCGCAGACCCCCGATGTGGCTTTGGGGTTCAAGCCGAGGACTCATCGACTTCCGTCTTCTCCTGTGACGTAACGTCTAAAGTCTATAGTCTATGGACGATCCCCGCGACACCTCAAGGCTGGCAGCCAGCAAGTTGGCCATAGTCGCAGGAGCCTGAGTTGCTCCGTGCTAAAAATCCCGGAAGCCTCCCGCCTGTGGCCCTGGTGAGAAAATCGAGGTGGAGCTGCTCATGGGTGGAGTTCCCGAGCGATCGTTCTTCACCCAGAAGGACTCCGAAGTCACGCATCCTGATCGGGAAGAATCGCGACACCAAGCTTCCGCTGGGAGGAATTGAAGGAGCACCTCCGACCATACTATGTCCGGGGCTCGGGTCGGAAGCCTCCGGACGTGACTTTGACAGCACCAAGGCTATTACGCAAGCCGTCCGTTCCGGCGACTTGCATGCGCCCCTTGGCTTCATGTCTTGGTCCAGCCTCCCTCTCTGCCCCGCAAATGCAAAAAAGGTTCAAGGAATGCACCAAGACGTACGAGGCGTTGTTCAAGAAGGCGAGGCAAGCAGCCAGCACTCATCGGTACTCATCTTCGTTTGTGGGAGAGTATGTTCATGCAGCTCAGCGGAGGACAAGACGCTGACCCTCATCAATCGTTTGAGATACAATGTCGAGAGCCTGGTTAGTTCCGGATCTTGACCGCTTGGACTTCGCATGTTTTCCATCCGCTAGCCCGAGCACGTCTTGGTCTAAACTCGACTCAGGTCATCAAAACAGGCTTGCGAAGCATCTGCCTGGCTTACAGCAGGATCTCTCTGCAGGACGTCGGGAAGTGTTGTAGTGTGACTGACTGAATCGCGTCGGGCAAACGAGTCAGGACATCTGCACAAAGCTTGGGCTTGAGTCTCCACAAGATGCCAGCAGCTCATGGATTTTTTGCCTGGACATCGAAGCGTTGGATGCCTATCTTACCGGAAATCCCGAGGCTGCCGGCGTTGTGGCCAAAGCTGTCGTAGACGGGGTGATTGATGCGAGCCCTGCTGCAATTGTGGCTGTGTGACAACTTCATGTCAATTATAATATACCATAATAATTCGATATACTATCGTATACTGCAACATACTATAATATACGATAATCCAATATACCACTATAATGTGGACCGGCCCTTTCAAGGGGTCGCCGGCCAGGCCACGATCGATTACGACCAGCAGTTTGTGAAGTCCAACCAGAAGATAGACTTGTACCACTCTTGCGAACCTCAGAAGGCATACTGGCCTCAGCTGTTTAGGGTTTTTTCGGGGTTTAGGGGTTTAGGGGGGTTTTAGGGGTTGAGGGTTGTTAGGGGTTTAGGGGCTGAGGGTTTAGGGGTTTTGGGTTTAGGGTTAAGAGTTTCTGCTCTAACATCTCAGCCTGTCCGCTCTTGTCCTCTTGCTTCCCTCGTCTTGCGAGGCTCTGCACAAGCGCATTGCCTTCTGCCTGCAGATGCACAATGATGCTGTGAAAGCCATGGCGTACCCGGACGAAAACGACAACAAGGCAGTGCAGGGCGGTCGTCTGGTTGTGATCCCTGCTTCATGCAGTAGTGACAGGACGCCGAGGATCCGGAAGAGAAGCGAGAGAGGGAGAAGCGTGAGTTGGCCAACATCGAAGAAGATGGTGGCGATGATGACATGATGATTTAGCTTCTATCTGTGGCTGTTGAGATACTGTATTCAAGCCCCTTGTACAGCTAGCTTCTGCTGTGTACTGCTGCGTAGAGCCGCAGATAGCAACAAGAGGTGGAGCAGTCCTTTCGAGCAGACCGGCTGACAACGAGTTGGCGTCATAGAACAGAGCTGCGAAAGCTGGCAGAACTTCAAAAAATGCATGGTGCGGTGTTGGGAGTTGATGCGGGTTGTTTGGCATAAGCTGCGCGAGAGAGTCCTGAATATGTTGCTTGCACTTTACGGTATTGTTCACCATGTTCGATCTGCTCGCACGAGGTACTTCACGCTCGACTTCGACAGGCAAGTTTTCTACTATGCCCACAGCGAGTCACGAAAATCCCAGGTGACGGCTGCTCGTTTTTTGTCTGTGGTTGGTTTCCTTTAGTCTTCCTGCTACTGCTGTTATCACGAATGTCGACATGGCCTCGCACATGACATTATCTTTCTCTCTCTCTCTCTTTCTGTATTTCTGGCGTTGTATCTATCTACCTACCTATCTACTTAGCTAGCTAGCTAGGTGGCTAGCTGGCTAGCTGGCTAGCTGCCTGGCTGCCTGCCTGCCTGTCTATCTATGTCCGTATACATATGTACGTACATATACATACATACACACATACATACATACATACATACATACATACGTACATACATACATACATACATACATACAAAGTTATACATATATATATATAACTATATATCTATATACATATATATATATGTGTGTGTGCATATCTAATCCATCCCCAGCCATCACTCGTTGCTTTGAAAGTCAGGTCTCCAAGCCCATTCACTTCAGGGACATCCTGGGGGCTCATGCGGGACACAGCACGCCTCTCAGAAATTTCTGACAGCTTTTTCTCGCGTCCATTGCTGACGAAGACTTGGACATTAGGGTCTCATAAACTTACATCAGTACGACCGGAAGGACACACTACCTAAGAACACAGTTGCTAGAACCTGTATCAGAACACCGAGCTGTCGGGATGCTTCGGATGCAGCAGGCTATGAGCCGGATGATCTCGGTTGTCCTGGACAGGCTGAGCTGCGTCACGGTCAGCAGACGCAGTCAGTGGGACAAGCTGCAAACGTGCAGGCGAAGGTGACGCGAAGCCTTTCTGGAGTGCTCTCAAGGTGCTCCCTAGAAGTCTGCTCAGAGTGGTTTGGTGACAGTGGCTCTGTTCCAAGGCCGCGACCGCCGGCCCCGGGGATCTTCCCATTTAGGGTGCGTACCAGAGGGAAGAGGCAAGGCAGGGAGATGTATCCGAGAAGGGTGGTTATCTCTATCCGAGAGCAAGTCTGGTGCAAGGCAGAGGGAGCCTTGCTGCTTGATGAATGCCTCATGTCAGGGGTGGAAGCAGTCGTAGTAGCAGCTGTGCGGTAGTCGTCGCCGTAGTTTTAGGCTCAGTCTCAGTCGTAGTTTTAGTCTCAGTCTTAGTCTTTCTTAGTCGTAGTCGCAGAAGTAGTCGAAGTCTTATAAGTAGCAGCAGCAGCAGGAGGAGCAGCAGCAGCAGCAGGAGCAGCAGCAGGAGGAGCAGCAGGAGCAGCAGGAGCAGCAGGAGCAGCAGGAGCAGCAGGAGCAGTAGCAGCAGTAGTAGCA